AGCAGGAGACCTCCTGAGAGCCATTCAATGATCTGGTAGGAAAGGATGGACTCCATTTCTTCCCTACCACCATGAAATCATCCTTCAAGTGACTGCACACAGCGGCAGAGGAGGTAAATTCAATCCCCAGGGAGCTGCCCCAGTGCTCATGAATGCTGGTCTGGAAAGCCCAGCCCTGCAATCCAGCTGAGCCTCCCCAGCTCACCACTGTGCTCCACCTGTTTCAGCACAGTCGTGTTTCTGCTGGACTTGCAGGGCTTTATTTGGAACCAAGGGGGGAAAGAACTTTTGTGGTTACCAAAATAAGATTCAAACCAAAAGGATCCAAACCAAAAGACGACTCACACTGCAAAGTTTGTCACTCACTGCTCCCAAGCCATCCAGTGGCCCTGATTCAGGTTTTTCTGAGTACCTCTGACTGACAACAGATTTTACACATTTCTGAAGCCCCCAGTTCTGGCATACAAGCCCCAGTGCCACCCCAGCAGCACCAGCCCCACAGTAGCAGGCACTAAGCCAGCAGATCAGCTATCACCAATCTCACCCCACACCAGATGCCTCCTTAGTCTGCCCTGCAGGGTGAGGCCCCATTTTCTGGAACTAAGGCAAAGATGGAATTTGCTTCATCTGCAAGCTATAAATCCTTTCTATCTTCCTGAGCCCAGCAGAGATGGGAACAGCTGTGTGGCAGTGCTTCCCTAAGGCTCCAGCTCTGTTGAAGATGCTGAAATACCAATATAAGTCTAAAAGCTGGAGAGCAAGAGAGAAGTAAGTGGCAGGAAAACGAGGAAGGGCAACCACAGAAAGGTTTGGATTGGAAAGACCTTGAAAAATAATACAATCCAAAGCCCCTGCCATTCCTCAGTGAAAGGAATATCTTTCACTAAATCAGGTTGCTCAAAGCCCTGTCCAACCTGACCCTGAGCACTTTAAATGATGGGGCATCCACTGCTTTTAAATGAAACAAAATTAATACCAACTCCTCAGAAGAAAAATCTTCGTTTCTTTAAGAGATTTTTGGTGTAGGACAAAACCCATTGTGCACACTGCTGGACAGCATCTGCTGAGGAAAAGAGGGAGGGGGCAGGCAATACCAAAGACATCAGCATGGAGAAAGAAGTCAAATATATAAGAAGCAGATTGTCAGGACCCATGGCTGGTTGATGCCTCATCCATCTCAGGACTCATCTTCTCCCAGCATGAAGAGAAGATGCTGTCAAACTTCAGACACATCCAGCTCCATCCAAAGACTACCTCTGACCCCAGTTAAACACTTAGAGCTACTGCTCAGACATCTGGACATTTAATTTTGATTTCCAGCCTAATTCCTCAGCAGCTACACTTCCTGCCAATTCACAATTGTTCACCTTGTAGATAAACATCTTCCCCAAGCTTGAACAGCTCTCCTCTCCTCTCTCTGTGGGGTAAATACAGAGTTCTGGAAGATGATGAGCACCAGCACTTCCCAGGAACTGTGCTGCTCACACCTTCCAGGATCAGGCAAGGTTAATCCCCTGCAAAGCATCACACTGGGGAGTGGCAGCACTAAATCCTCCAGAAACACAGCCCAGACCACAGCAGGTGTTGGGAGGACCTGTACAAACAGGCTGTGCTTGCCTCTTGGGCTGCCTGCATGGCAGAGATCTGTGCAGAATGCTAAGCAGGGCTTGGGTCTTATTGATGATGATTACCATTATGATCATTACTTCTGCCACAACTCTAGTCATACCCAGGGGCCCCAGGCAGATCCCTGCAAGAGCAAGACATGGTCTCTGCTTTGATGAGTGGATAAATCTGGTGTGAAACAAGCTGCAGCAACTCAGCATGGCAAACAGCACGGAGGGGGGCTGGCAGCACCAGGAAAATTGCTACTTCAGTGGTCTGAACACATGCCTTGAGTGCTTCAAACCACAGTAAAATGTTCCTGTTTATAAACTGTTGGCTGCTGCCAGTTCACTTTGTTTCAGTCATGTAACCATTTCTAACCTTCTGTTAAAGTTCCATTAAGCAGCTTTTAATCAGCACCTTCTGGCTGAGTTTTGTGCAGGTATCAGGAAATAAAAAATAAAATTGAAGTCAAGGTGAGACTAAGGAAATGCTTTGGTAGGAGATGGGAGGGAGAGGGGGGTACACACAGCACCTGCTCCACAGTCTTTCACTCCAGTGTCTTTCCCCTCTGCCTTCAATACGATCAAGAAATAAAACCACAAATGTGATCAGCTTGACAGACCCTCTATGTACAAGCAACACACCTACAAAACAATAATAAGAACCACAAGGCCAGAGGATGCACATTCCTAAACATTAACAGCAATGAGCTGAGGAAATTACCAGGAACAGAATTTGCCAGTCTCCCAGAGAGATTCCAGAACTACAAAGGCTGCAGGGAGCCAATTCCAGTGACACTGCTGGGGCAGCCAAGGCTGTGCTGAGCACAGCCACTTCTTGACCAATAATAGCAGCAGGACAACCCTTCCCCAGAGCAGTGCTGTTGCTCCCACTCATCTCCAGCAGAAGGATCCATGGGAAGCCCATGTGCCTCCAGTTAAGCAGCTTTGCCAGGGCAGGAGGGATGAAAACACACCGGGGTTTGAGGGGATGCTACCCCTACCTACAGACTCACAGTTAACCAGGTGGGAAAGACCTGTGTCCAACAGAGGACAAACTGAGGCAAAATGGCAGTGCCCCTGTAAGCAGGGAACCAGTGGGGCCTGGAGCCATCTCCCAGGCTGAATTATTGCTGCAGAAATCAGGGAGGTCATTGAAAAAACAATCAGGGAGCCTGGAAGAGAGAAGGGAGCCATAGCTGGTGACTGAAGCACACTGGGCTATTTCTCACCCCAGCCCTTGCCTGGCAGATCCCAGAAGCCTCATGTTCTCAGGGTTATATATGGATGGCAATGGCTTTGCACAGGCTGCTGACAGCAACCAGCAGTGTGTCACCTTCTGGAAGAGGATTAGCTAAAGCTGCAGGCATGTTGTCACATCACTAAGCCTACCTCTGACCAGGTCTTGGCCAACCCTTAGCTCTTCCAGGCCTGACAGATAATGATGGGATCTCTAAAAGCCCAGTGTCAGACAAGGCAAGGGACTGGCACTGACAAACTCCTCTGGGAGCTCCCAAATGTCTCCTGGTTTCCAGCAGACCCAGCAATGCCCGACTGCTTGCAGGACCAGGAACAATGAGAAATGCTGGAGTGCCTTGTCTCTCCTTCTCAGCCTGCAGCGCCTGTTCTGCTCCTTGGGAAAACTTCCTTGGGAAAACTTCTTCCACAAATGGCAAGAAACACAGGATTTTTTTAGAAGGTGATAAAGTTCCTCAGTCACATACAATTAGACCTACAATCACTAAAACACTGACAATTAAGAAATACTGATCTTTTTCACACAAAAAATCCTGACTGATCAAGAACAGATTTCCGAGGAAAAAAAGGGCCATTTCCATTATTATTTTTAATTGCAAGAGAATTAGAAAAATAAGAATTTCCACTTGACTCGAGGATGACATTTTCTTTGCATTTCAGAAATGGATTATTTTTTACTTTTTAAATTCCAAATGTCTTTCTCTTCCTATTTCTCACTAAGTTTTGTTACGGAAGGCAGCAGAACAGGTGCATATGACTTCGCTTCTCCCTCTCCAACACATTTTCTTTTTTTGTTCTGAATTCTCCGAAGTTAGAGCGGCAGACAAAAAATACCCAAAACACTCATCAGGCTTTTCCAACTTTCCTATAAAATGTCCTTAACTTTAGAAAATCACTCAAATGTAAGATTTAATATGCTGCTTTGTTTTTCTTTCTCTTTTCCATTACTCTGTAGTGTTCCTGAAAATGTATATGCTTCCAAAAGATAGAGCAGAAAGAGGAAAAAATACACAGGTGATATTTATCTTATTGTACTCAACATAAAAGAGGGAAAAGCAGTGAAGGAACAATGTAGAGCATCCCAAACCAAATACAAAAGCTGGTTTAGCCATTTGCTTGAATACAGCTGAGCTTTTCTTTGGAGAAAGGTTGGAGAGAAGCAGGGGAAGAACTTCCCCCCATTTCTACCTGCAGTAAATCACCAGGAATAGAAAATGTCATGCTCTACCAAAATAGCTACCCCTCTCTCCTAAAATTCTTTGCCTTCACTTGCTTCTGCTGCAGTTCCATCACAAACTCTCCATTGTCAGCCAGGGGCATCCCAGGTGCTCCAATTTGCAGGTTTCCAGTTGCAGCTTCCAGGGTTGCTCCCAGCCATGCTGTCCTGCTCCTGGAAACTCACTCCCCTCCATGTGTCCACAAGCCAGGATCCCAAATCCCACCCTTGCTGCTCAACTTCATCTGGAGAGGAGGACTTTCACAGCAAGAAGTAGAGGAAGGCTGACACACAGTGACTGGCAGGCCATTTGTTTTGCTGACATAACAGCTCCAGAGACCATTGCAATGGTCATTTAATACCTTCCCAACTATTTCATATTCAAGAGTGTTCCATAGTAGAGGGAAAGAACAAAACTGAACTAAAACAATCCATCCAGCAGACTGGAGAGAAAACACTTCCAGACTCACTGGTCAAATTTATGCCCTACCACTCCCAATTATACTTATATTACACAGATCAACCCCTTGTTTGTAAAGCATTCCCACTGTGGTGGGGTCAAAGAACCAATACTGAAAAGGACTGCTTGAGCCTAAGCTCCTTGAATCATCACGTGCCAGCAGGGACCAAACAAGCAAAACCCCTTGAAAAGTACCAATCCTGGACATAGGACATCTGCTTTCAACTAGAACTGAGAAAGATCTGTCCTCATGCCCTCCCCCAGCCCTGAACTTCTCAGGAGGGTAGCTAGCCAGAGCAAGGGGAAGAGATACCTTCACATCCTTCTTGATTTGAATGACCTGAAAAAGGGAGGCTCTCACAACCTCACCAACAAAGAGCAAATCAAGAACAGCCTGTGTTAGCAGTCAGTTCCTCTGAATGAGGCAGTTGTGGTTCCTTCCTAGAAAATAAATACTCACCATCACCTCCTGGTTGCTTGTATGGGTTGTACTTTGGTTTGGGGGCGACCACAGGCGCAAACTTCTTTGGGGTCTGCTGGGTGGACACGGAGATGCTGGGAGTGCCAAAGGTGTGTGTGGTCTCCATCCTTGCAGTAACGTGGCCAACAGGCTCGTTGGTACTCTTGGGAGGCAGCCAGGATGGGTGGGACATGCTTCAGGTCTGAGGAGACATAAAGAGAGTCACATATACATTAAGAGTTTGAGCTGGGGAAGGAACAGCTGCAATTCTACTATTTTTCTGGTTTATGAAATCAATCCTACAAAACCCTTCAAAATATGTTTAACTGGTGCATGCTTAACTTTAAATATGCTGTTCCTAATACATAGGACTTCAGATGCAAATTTGCCTTTCTCTCCCCAGCAGGTCAGAATTACTGATCAGGCTATTGTTGGTACCTACAATAATCATTGCTATTTTCCTCTTCAAACCAGAGCAGAGACAGGCTGATACCCTGAAGCAGCCCATCAATCCCACCCTGCATTCAGCACAGTAGTGATGTATTTGCCTTTCCCTGTTAGGCCTTTTTGAGTACATTAATGTACAACAGTGCAGGTGCTCTGGGGACAAGTTTAGTCACAGACAGGCACACACACTTCCAAAATACACTTTTAGCACTTTTTCACATGTCATTTAGGACCCCATGCCCCAGTGATTTTCATTCAGACTTTTAAGAAAACAGATTTCAAAAGTAGCTAATCATTCTTGATGCCTCCATTTCTGAATGCCCAGCTTAAGACATTTTAAAAGCATGTCAATTTTGAATAAATGCCAGAATCTCACAACCCCTGACAACCAGGCTCCTTTTAGACTTGTGTAACAAAAAGCAGAGGCAGCCCAAATCATTACTTATTTATGAAAATCTTGGCTTTGGCCTCTTAAAAGCCTACATCACTTTTGAGAACTGGGTTCGGATGCTGCTGAAAATGTTGCCCATAAAAATCCTGTTAATTCCAATGAACAAGTGTTTTTCACCACACACAAACCACACTCGCAGGGTAGCCATGACAGTCCTACTGTACCATCAGAATGTCCAATGGAGCTGGATTTGAGATTTGATGGAGAAATGAAGATCCCACACAGACAAAAGTCAATGCTAATTTTGCAGCTCTTGAGCACCCTGTTGCTCCTGCCCATGCACTGCTTTGGTGTCAGAACCCCCTGAGGCTACCAAAACCAGCAGGCACCCGTGACCTCATCAGCAAAGATTTAATTTCATCATGGAAAAGGATCAATGCCAGAGATAGGATCAAGATCTCCACATGGTAGTGCAAGGTGAGCACCTCCAGCTAAGAGCAATGACTGTTAAAACTGATGGATACACAAGTGTGCTTATTTGAACCAGGAAATTTACTTCAAAAAACAGTTTCCTGCTTGAGGAGTAATTTCTACTTTAAGCCCCAATGTCTGACCCAACACTAGGAGGTGACAATTTTTGATCATCTTCCACCTGCATCACTCCTTGCGTGAGAGAGGAACTGACAAGGGCCAAGCATCACTCCCAACACTTCTGTCTTTTCCTGGCCATGCAGTCTGACTACTTGATGTGCAGCCAGTGGTTTCACAATTCCTACCACCAGTAAGTGAACTTGCTGCACTAGGCATCCAATACCAGTGAAATGAAGGCACTGGAGCTGCCTAGAAATGAGGCAGACAGGAGCACAGCAGGAGCAGCCCGGAGATGGATCCAAGGCTGAGCTGCAAGGACACGACTTTTCTCCCTCACAGGCCTGCTGTCCAACCCACAGTAAGAGTGCAGAGCATCGTTCTGAAAGCAAGAAGTGAAAGGCAGGTCCTCCCCACAGGGCAGGAGAGGAAACCAGTCCCAACGGGTGGGGGCTGAGGGCACACGAACCATGGTCCCACTGCCTGGCACTTCCCAGCACCAACAGGAGCCCCTATGGACCTGGAAAATGACTGCCACTCCAGCAGTAAGATTCACCTACACTGCTGACTCCTCCTCCTACATCCTTCAAATCCGTAAAAGCAGCAATAAAACTCAGACAACTATCTAGGTCTTAAGAGCAGAAAGCAATGAGGGCAGTCAGCCTTAAGAGCTAAACAGAACGAGCCTGCACTCTGCAGAGTTATTACATCCAAAGATGACTGTAGCTTACCCATTGCTAAAAGCATCCTGGAGTTTAATTCTGACAGGTTTTCAGCCTATGGCTTGACATCTAATATGAAAGAGCCCCCTGCTACAATGAAGCACCCTAAGACCCTGGACGTTAACTCCATGTTGACTCAAAGCTAAAGAAAAAAATCCCATTACTGATTAGATTATCACCATTCCTGTTCTGGAATGTTCCTTAACCACCCCCAGGCAGCATGCCTTGGTCCCACTGAACCCTCATGGTCTGCTGGGCTGATGACAGGGATGGGTTGTGTGATGCACAAACCAAGAATATCTGCTCCAGTAGCCAGGTTGCACAGCACTGAGCACAGCTGAAGACAATGAGAGAATTTCAACAAACAAGCTTAGAAAGCAGACTGCTCCTATGGACAGCTTGGGAGCAGGGAGATCACAGTGCTGTAACTCAGCTGCTGACTGTAAGCTGGCACACAGCTCCCTCTCAGCTAACCTCTAACGCCTTTGTTTTGGCCATGGTGGTATTTTCTAATTGTTTCCCCATTAGCCTTTTCTCTTCCTCTTTCTCCCCATCTCATTTTCTGTTATGCATTTACTGCCACTCGTTTTTGCTATCTGTGCCCTGACAGTGTTTTCAGCAAGTTCCCTTTTCCTCATCTGTTCCAGCCTCAGCTCCCCAGACTCAATTAAATTTAGCCTAACTACTCTGCAAGATCACAGAAAAAGAAAATGAATTAATTTCTTTTTAAAAGCTGAAGCTAAACTTCTGAGATTGCTATTATTTTCCCTCCATTTTGGCTGGTAAAAGGCCAAAAGCAAGGAAAAATATAAGGGACGGTGGCTTGCAGACAAGCACAGCCCACCTTTCAGCAGACTTCTCCATGGTGGAGCACCATGGCTAATTCAGAGTCACCAGTGCTCTCTCTCCACTCCCTGCAATACTGCCTGGTTTTCCATCAGGAGCAGAACATTTGTGATGTGCCCAAGTAACGAAAATAGCACAGGAAAACCTGGGCCTATCTCTAATTCCCTTACTCTAAACTTACTCTTACCCATGTCACTGCCTGAATGACACTGCCTGAGTGTCATTGTGGTGCCTGTGCTTGGACAGGAACACCCAATAGGTAACAGCAGAGCTTTTCTGGCTAGCCAGCAACACAGCCAGCAAACACACATTTCACTTTTGAGCTATCTTCTTCCATTAGAAGTTATTTTTCACTGCAATGTTAACGTACAGATTAAATCTACAGCTGCCCCCACACTTCTGCTCCAAGCAAGAAATTTGCCAGGCACAGTTTGCATTCATTGAGCCCCTTCCTGGCAAACCTCGGTAGATCCAGCCACGAAACAGTTAACTCAGGAAGGCTGAGCCCATGTTCCTGGGAATCCTCCCAGAGGGATAGACACCTCTTGCTCCTCTGTCACTGCCACACCTCTGCCTTGGCTGAAACCTTCTGCATGTCTGCCTGCCACCCTCCCACAGCCATCCTTGGTCACCCACAGCTCACAGCTCCATTCCTGATCTGACTGCTACAAGCTTTTCCTGTGACTCCTTCCTCACTGACCACTCTGGCAACACCCCCTTCCCAAATTCATTGCTCATCTCCCCCAAAAAACCCCTTAAATCTTCTCTGTGTCACTGATTTGAAAGCCTCTCCTTGATCATCTTGACTAACCCTGAACCATCCCAAACTACCGCTCTGCAAAGCTTCTGCTGAGCTAAAGATTATTTGTTATAAAGCATATGTAGCCTCAACTGAAACAATGCAAGTGTTGGAGAACCCAACACAGCATTAGGTACATTGTTTGGATAAAAAAATTAAGCACCATAATCACAGCTTCTCCTTTATGTCTGGCTTAAAATTTAGCTAGATCCACTTTCAACCATTGCATTTTGTAATGCTCCTGTCATCTGCAATACAGACTTGCCTCTCTGCCTTATGTAGATCCTTTCAGAACGCAGCCAGATCATTGCTTAAATCAAACCAAAACATTTAAATTAAGTATCAATTAAACTCCCTGTAAAGGGCAGATTTCTCTTGATTCTTTCATGTATGTTTACTCTGAACTCTCTTCAATTTTCCAGCTACCTTTTCTGAAATGGTGGCTGATGGCGTAAGACCATTTTTAAGAATAGTAACTTAAAATAGAAGAGGTAAAATGATGAATAATATCAAAAACAAAAACCTGACTGAAATCAGCTGTGGACGCCTGAGGTTCTGTTATCCTTCCTTCCTTGGAAGCATTAGTCATCACCTACTTTTGGAGGCAGAGGATAAGACCAGACTAACCATGATAAATAGCATTAAGAGCGAAGAGTGAAATCACGCTGCATAAATAAGGCAAACAGTGGGCTCTGGTTCTATCATTAGGAGGATCTTAATGCTGTAAATTCAGAAAATTCTAACCATGAAAGAATACACCACAGCAGAAGAACTGGAATCCATTAATCCCAAGCTGAGACCACATTATCTAAAAATGTCAGATCAGGAATATCAATAGCAGATAATACCGTGCAGTAATAACAGCCTGACAAGGTTTTTTCACAGCCTTTTTCTTTTTTCAAATGTGTGGGCATAAGAGCTTGTTTTTGCTTTTAATTACAGGATGTCATTCACCTTTGAGAAGCAAAGGTAAAAAACTGAGGGTTTCAAGTCAATTTCTCCTTACATGTGATAAGCAATGGAAGGGTAGAGTACCAATTTGTCTACTTTTGAAATTGTACGTACATTCATCTCTGAGACAGGCTGGCTTTTCTGTGATTAGACTGTACCCAAATAAATCTCCATTTCATTTTCATATTTGTAACATGGACCAAATACTCTTTGGATGTTGATGGACTTCACCAAGACAGAAGATTTTATCCCTGAGTTAATTAAGCTAATGCTTCGTAGCGGGTAGCAACATAATTTAACAGAAAATGAGCAACAACCGTCTGTGCTTACAGACTGTCTGCTCTGTCTTCCATCCCACGCCTTCCTAAATTCACTGGCTTGATGTAGGTCTATGATGTTCTGTCTTAGTATCACCCATGCACAGTGAACCATTTCTCCTAAGGCCAAGAGATTGACCA